ACAGACTCCTGTCACAGACCGCCTGTCACACAGACTCCGTCACAGACCACCTGTCACACAGACTCCCTGTCACAGACCGCCTGTCACACAGACTCCTGTCACAGACCGCCTGTCACACAGACTCCTGTCACAGACCGCCTGTCAGACTCCTGTCACAGACCGCCTGTCACACAGACTGCCTGTCACGCAGAGTCCCTGTCACAAACCGCTATCACAGATTCCATGTCATACAGACTACCTGTCAGCCTGCCTGTATCTCTCTCACACACACAGTCTGTTGTCTCAAAAACAAAAATTACACAGGACACACAGGGAGGGGGAGAGGGAGATACGTGGAGGGAGAAACCACATTCATTTATTGGGGACCCCTTTCCTTCTGTGTTCCCCAACTGGCTTTTTGGAGACAAATACAATAAAACAAGAATGTGCTTCTCCTATATTCGAATTCAGTGAATGATACGACATCTGGGCAAATCACAGCCATAAAGCTGGGCTTCCTCGGCATCAGCTCCCCAAGGCCTCCCCCTCCGCACAAATGGTCACCAAACCCTGCCCGTGCGCAGACCGACCAGGCCCGAACTCCTCAGGAGCAGCAGTGCCCCCACAACGTGGCCCCCCACCTTCCCCAACCTGTCCCCACCGGGCTCCCACCTGGCGCTCCGCAGCCCCGCTTCCACTGCGCACAAAGCTCTTCTCACCTCCCACCACCCCTCGTATGTGATCCCTCCCCAGACCAGGCCCCTCGGGTTGCTCCACCAGCGCCTCCCAGCACTGACACAATATGAAAAGTCTCCTCGCTTACTGTCTGCTCTTTAAAAGACTGGGCCTCCGTCGGCCTCCTGTGGCCTAGAACACTAACGGTACCATGGAGGTGCCCCCAAGTATCAGGTGAACCTGCGAACACCACGCCTGTTCTCTCCTCCCCGCACCTGCCCCTTCACACAGGCTCTCCGCCTGCCAGCCCTCTGTCCACGCTGCCCTTCCCTCCACTCGCTGCTCAGCACCACAGAAAAGGTCACCCTTCCAAAGTGCACATGAGCGCATATCCAGTTCTGCCCCCAGGAGGAGGCTTTGCCAACTTCCTCCAGCACCTAAAGGTGACCCTGTACTCCTCGGCCTGGTGGGCACACCCTCCGAGTCAGACCTGCACAAAGGCTGGACTGGAAGGAACCAAAGGGGAAGACAGAAAAGAACTTGCCATCCTGGTGGGAGCGTATGGTGACCTGGGCGCAGAGAGTGTTGACAGGGGAGAAATGAAGGTTTGAGAAACCTCTTAAGAGACAAAATGCAGGACTGAACACGGGGAGGTGGTGAGGATGACTCCCAGCTGTCTGTCCTGGGCAATGGAGTGGGTGCTGGCGCCACACTGATACCGCTCTGCTTCTGCTGTATTCACGAGCTTTCGAAACCACACACTGATGTTCACGTCCTTTCCAAGTGATCAAGAACACCTAGAGTAGTTTATATTTTACTATCCTCATTAGAAATCAAGTCACCCACTAAAATAACTGAATACAGCACATCACAAGTTTCCTAGTTACCCTACCATAGAAGAAAAGAGGGTCTGGTTTGAAGGGAAAGGGTTTTCATAATCTAACCCATTTACTGATGGTTAAACCAGGCCAAGGCAATTTTAGACGCTAAACCAGAAAAAACTGGCCGGGTCAAGTCTTCCGGAGCTAAGAGACGAACTGCCCAGACTGCAGCAGTGTGAGGCAATTTCTAAATGGCTCACCGAACAATCTCTTTGTGGGCAAAATATGACAAACACAGCTTAAACTGGTTAAAGACCTTTCAAGGTTCCACAGTTCTCTGCACAATTTCAACCAGGAAAAGCAAAAAGACTACACTAACCAACTACCTCCACCTAGCGGCAGTGACGGACCAGGACAACGCGCATGCGCAGGGACCGCGAGCCGGGGGCACACAGCTCCGCTGGTTAGGATTTCGGAGCTCTGCAAATTTACACCCCACAGCCAATCGGCATAAAGCATTAATTATTAATTTCTTTTTAGCTTTAAGCAAGCACCCCAAATCCAGAAGTCTCTTCAGAGAAAAGGCAACTGGACCCGAGGGGTCAGCAATGAACAGTGGCTTTCACTGGCACACCTCTCACCTGCTAGGTCAGTGCTCTGCGACAGCAGAGTAGTTGCCATCCAGACCCGAAGTCCCCGAAAGCCCAGAATATTTACCCGGGCCCTTTAAGTAAAAGTCACTGACCGCTGAACCCAGCTGCTCTGGGTTCAAATCCCAGGGCTGACATTAAGTAGCTGCCTGATGGCTCTGAGCCTCACCGTTCTGTAAAATGGGGAGGACACAACCCTCCCAGGACTGCTGTGGGAGTCCAGTCCGTGGAACAGCAGGGCCAAGCGGTGGTGCCATTACAACAGACCGCAGCCGGGTGAGGGCAGCCTGTTCATGGCCCGGCTCCCAGCACTCGGCCCAGAGCTGGGCACTTACCAGCTCTCCCTTCCCCCGCGTGGGCTCGTGCCAGGCAACATTCTGTGGGCATTACACATAGTAAGTAACTCACGGGGCCTGTCAACAGCCCTGTGAAGCAGGGGCCACCGGTATCCTCAGAGGACAGGTGAGAAACTGAGGCTCGGCGGGGGAAGGAGACCGCCCACAGCGGGAGCCACACCCACACCGCCTGGCCCCAGGGACGCAGCTCCTCCCGGCTCAGCCACTCCACGGGGCCTCCAGATGCTTGCTAGCACAATGGGCAGGGAGGAACTGAAAAGGCTATTAGAGTCACAGTTTCCTCATTTAAAAACTGAGAAACAGGAAGACTGTGTCCTTCTGACTGGATTGCTTATCGGAGCAAAAATTTCACGATCTACTAGGTACATGATGAGGATGCGGAGGACCAGACGAGCCACCCAGGAGGTGACGAGCTCCGCCTCTCACAGCACTCTGAAGGGGCAGATGTTTCAAGCATTTTTTTCCTTGCAGTAGGACTTACTGGCTGAACTCAATACCTCGTAACTTAACTGTGTGTGGGAGCCTCCCTGAGACAGAGGTGGGGCCTGAGTTCCAGCCTGACTCTGGCCAAGTCGCCTGGCCTCTCGAGCCGGAGCTGGTTTCCTCACTTGGGAAATCAGTACCTGCCTTCCTGGGCACCAGGGCCTGGGAGGCTCCGGGGAGATAATGCTTGTGAATGTACTTTATAAACCCTGAGAGTTAACAATCTAATCTGCTTCTATTCCTAATCAACCTCAGTGTTCTTGAGGCATTACAAGAGAACAGACACAACAGATCTACCTTCAGATAAAGGAGGAACGTGGCCTACTACTCGACCCTTACCCCAATATGTCGTAATGACTAAAGGAAGCCTGATTCCGATCTTTCCAACTCTCCAAATCCTCTCCGTTAGCTCCAAGTAAATTCTATTCCTTTTTTTTTTAAGATTTTAGATGTAAAGATTTACGTATCTTTTTTTCAAAGATTTTACTTATTTATTTGAGAGAGAGAGAATGAGAGATAGAGAGCATGAGAGGGATGAGGTTCAGAGGGAGAAGCAGACTCCCCGCTGAGCAGGGAGCCCGATGCGGGACTCAATCCCGGGACTCCAGGATCATGACCTGAGCCGAAGGCAGTCGTTTAACCGACTGAGCCACCCAGGCGCCCCTTATTTATGTATTTGACAGAAAAAGATATATATATATATAGAGAGAGAGAGAGAGAGCGAGCGAGCATGCGTGTGCAAAAGCAGGGGGCTGGGAGAGAGGGAGAGGGAGAAGCGGACTCCCTGTTGACCAGGGAGGCCGATGTGGAACTCGATCCCTGGACCCTGGGATCATGACCTGAGCCGAAGGCAGGTACTTAACCGGCTGAGCCACCCAGGCGCCCCAAGTAAATTCTATTCCTACGTTAAAAAATGCCCCAGTAGCCAGAGCCTTTAAAAAAAAAAAATTTTTTTTTCACACAGATGGTTTTATTGACAACTTAGTATCTTTCTGGCAACTAAAATAAAGTTATAGGTTTTCAAGAAACTACTACCTTGGACCAAATTTAAGAATATTCAGAATGTCCAACAGCAAGAGCGAACCCTAGTGTCAACGGCGGATTTGGGGCGACGATGCCGTGTCGGGGCAGGTTCCCGGACTGTAACGCAGGTCCCGCTGAGGTGCAGGAGAGGAAGATGAGGAAGGTGGTGTGTGCGCCCCTGGGCAGGGCGTGTGTGCGAACTCTGCACTCTCTGCTTCCTTTCGTTGTGCACCTAACACTGCTCTAAAAAGCAAGGTCTGTTACTCAGAAGGAAAAATACAGTGAAAATGCACAACTCGACTTGCCTGCAAAGACAGCATAAGCGATGCTACCTGCCCTCCTTTCTGTCTTAGTTCAGTAACGGCCTCTAGCAGGACTGGGGCAGGGGAGAAAATGCAGCCCTGGCATAGCAGTTCCCCAATCAGCTGTTGATGTTACTGTGTTGTCTTTTTGTTTGTTCACTGAAATTAGGTTGGTTGATGTCTTCCCCAGAGCCAGCCACTCCGTCTCTTTGCTGGCTGAATGCCAACTGAACCACTTCTGGCTTCTAACTGGAAATTTCAGATGCTCTTGCAATTATCCACACTAGTGTGAGCTTTCGTTCTCTTTACAAGTTCCTGGGTCTCTGCCTCTCTGTTACAGGCTCTCCAGGGACAGATGGCAGAGGAAGACGCCACCTGTCTGACAAAAGCCACTACCTGGTTGGTGTTCTGGATCTCATGCTGAGAAGTGGTAGCTCTTATGAGGAAGGGATCAGTCAGTACGTAGCTGTACATTCAGATGCTCGGCTATGCGGCTTTGCTGTGAATTATGCACTGCCTTCTGTTTAAAGATACGCTTGATAGACGACCCCCCCACGCCCAGAGGATACAATCTTAGGTTTAAAAAGCAAGCTGCAGAACAATATATTTAACAGATCTCATTTGAGTAAAAACACTAAAATACAAAGGATAATGAGGATCTGCAGAGAAAACCCCGGAGTCACACAGGGAGCTTTCTAACAGAAGTCACCTCCGAGAAGCAGAGAGGGCTGAGGAAGTGAGAAAAGGCATATTTATGTTTGGACTTCATCCTCCTTTCGTACCGCTGGCACTCTATACCACAAGTAGAAATTGTTTCTATAAAAATAAATTAATAAAAGTTAGCTGTCTAGCTGGTATTTATAAAAGAAACGTGCCACCCAAGGGAGCAGGTGGGCGGCTCAGTCGGCTGAGTAACTGACTCTTGGTCTCGGCTCAGGTCATGGCCTCAGGATCCTGGAATCGAGCCTGGCATCAGGCTCCCTGTTCAGCGGGGAGTCCGCTTGTTCCCCTTCTTCTGCCCCTCCTCCCTCCCCTCGTGCTCTCTCTAAAAATAAACAAATCAATCTAAACCAAACCAAAACAAAACCATGTCACCCAAGGAAACAGACCCGCCACCCAGGAAGAGAGCAATATTCACTTTACTTTGGACTGCGGGCAAAAGGGCACTTTCCGAAATGGCTGTCGAGGTTTCAAGTTTACCCTCAGGCCACTGGCAAAGTGTTTAGTAAAATATCCTAGTTAACCTGGCATTTCATAATCACTCCCATCTAGGACAACTGGGTCCCTGGCTGGCCTTTGCTTAGCCCCGGAGCCCCCGTCAGGGCGCACACAGAGACAGGCAGGCACCACCCTGCCCCACTGCTCGCTCTCCGTCTCTGCCCTCTCTCCAGCTGGGACACTTGAGAAGAAAGCAAGGAACAGCCTGCACCTCAACCCACAGAGTCTCTCTGCATCGGGTTATCCCGGGTGGGAAACAATGCTAAACAGCAGCTTTCTGAGAAGATCTTTCTGTACATTAAAATAGAAGCATATACTTACTTCCATTCATCATTTTGTCTTTAGCAAGTGGGTGTGTCGTAACTTTGCTTCCAAAACCTATTTCATGAGCCAAAAGAGCCGTAGGACCTAAAAAGAAGATTAATAAAAAGACTTAAGGATGGATACAGAAAAAACCAATGGTTTAAAAATTGCAACAGCAGAAGTACTCTTCAAAACCAGGAGCCTCTTACCTAAAATATACTTATGATTCTGAAATTAAACAGTTTTTCATACGAGAGGTAAAGTATGTTTGTAATAAACCATCTGCTGAGCACATCAAGCAAAAGTGTACAAATTCAAAATACTTCAATACCCATCTAATCAAATCACACCAAGGAGCATCCAGATAAACAGAGTGTGACCCCCCCCCCCCAAGGAACGGTAAGCAAGGGTCCCAGGGGTCCAAGGAGGGGAGACCACCAACGTCTTCCTCTTAGCACATGAAAGGCAGCTGGTGCTCTTCCAACTTCTGGACTTGACTACTACTTCACAGACTAATTTTTTCTACTTGAAATGAAAGATGAGCACACATTCCACCATCTACCCACCCAAACATCCCAGGTGGTAGGATTAGTACAATCAACAGGACATTGTCCAGCCCTGCGAAATGCCCAGAAGTCTGAGATATAAGGACACTAATATTTCTTTATTAAAAATCACTTAAGACCATGTACAAATGTCAGTTTCTGATCCTCTAAAATATGCAGCTGCTAACTTGAGACTTTTATCCAAATGTATTCACTGAAAATGGTCAATTTCAGTGATAATCACAAGCATACTTCATATGTAATGGTCCTCAACTAAGGACTAAGACAAAAAATATCTTATAACTTTGTTGTTACCTTAAAACTTCAAAAAAGTAGTTACTCTAACTTTTTTTCTCCAAGTCTCACACCACACCTAGAAAAACATGCTTTGGAACAGCAACGTAACCTTCAGAATGGGTTGGGGTGCCATGGCTAAGAGCTGAGGACAGAGCCTGTGTGCTTTAGCTTCAGCCAACGCACACACCTGCTCTCACTGACCTTTCATTTATCAACAGTTCCAAGGAAAAGGGAGTTATAGACTATACCTACCGGCTAGATCACAGCTGCTGTTCACAGGAAGATCAACAAATAATACTTAATTACATAAGCCTTCCGCTTGACATCAAGCCAAGTCCCGATTTATAGCTCCTAAATCAAAAGCCTCAAATAGATTTGATGTCTCTCACCACCTTACTTTTATGCTACACACCAGACAGCCATGTACAGTGGCAAATTTTAAGTCTGTAAAGTCTGAATAATTACCACTCAATTTTTATTTGAAGGGACTCATCAATTACCCTGAATTCTTACTTTGTTAAGATTTTTAAGAGATAAGAAATAATTCCCTACATGATTTTGTAGTTGAAAGCAAACCTCAAGAGGTGATCGTACAGTGAGTTAGGAATTTTTAGGCTGCTCCCTTGAGCTGATAAAATTGCTGCCTACAGTAACGTTAATAAATTTGTTTCGGCTGAATGTAGGAATTCCACGATGCCTTACTCATAATGGTTAAGCCCATAATTACTGCTTTCTGGGGTTTAAGAATCCTATTTGGAGAATTCGAGAAGAGATATTTACCTGCCATTACTTGAAATTCTGGCAGATGAAAATGTTGCTGAGTCTGCAGCAGGGACCCAGCAAGCTGAGAGCAGAGGGCACCGCAGGCGGGAGCCCCTGGGGCCACCACGACACGGAAGCCAACAGCGCCACCGTGTGGTGATGTGCAGAGAGAACATCACAGTCATCCACCCCGCCCTACAACCATGTCCCGGAGCTGGTACTCAGAGCCAGGCATCTGACAACTCCTGGACCCTTTACCTCCAGGCTCCTTTTCCTCTCCCACCCAGAGTGAATGTCATTTTATTTTCTTATCAAGATAGTCTCCCTTCCAGTTTCTGTCTCAGTGACTCCATACTATCCCTCAATACCAGGGGCTAAGCAAACAAGTCTTTCAGTCTAGTACGCAGTTCCCAGTTCCTAACTGCAACACTTAAGAAGCATCTTACTTTTCATTAGACTTCCTATTTTTGGCCGTACCCAGAGAAGCAGTACAGGATGTTCAACAATACAAACAAAGGCGAGAGTGCTGTTTATGGCTAACACTGATTTAAGTGATTACAAGGTCTGAGCTCCTTAGCATGGCATTCAAGCTGCCTGAGCTCGAAACAGTGAGCCAGATGTGGCTAATAATTCTGCCACCTTAGTGACACAGAAGGACAAACTGACAACGTGGTTTTTACTTTCAGCAGAGTCTTGAGGGAACAAATCCACCCCAAACCCTTCCTTTCTTCCTTTGGTTAGAGAACCTAAGAATGAGGCTGTGGCCACAGTGACTGCAGTATTCTTCAGCAAGGAGAAAGCCCTGTGCTCAGAGGGCAGGTCAAGAGGCTAGTGCTGACTGGAACCTGAGGACAGGGCCCACCAGGGTGGCCACCTGTGAGGTCCTCACACGTCCAGGTCTTTGGACCCCTGAGCTTTTAGGTGGGTTACATCAATCAGTAACTGCCGTGTTAGAAATTAAAACTGGGAAATTTTTACAACACAATAATACTTGAGCATATGTGTCACGCCCAAATGATGGCATCATCCCACGCTCATGTCACTCCTGTGAGAATGCGAAGGAAAAGGGCAAATAATGTCTTAGTATCTGCTTTCACCTTATGACCCCCTTGAAAGAACTCTCGAGAATCTCTGCTGTAATTATGCAGTCCCCAGGATCCCTGGCTTATAACTTCTTTGACAAATCCATCGTATTGAACAAAACATCATGTCATTTTATCTAACCATCCATCTACTCATTTATTTATTTGCTCTTTTGACAAAGATTTCATAAAGACCAGTAACAAAGAAGGCACTGGCCAAAATTATACTATGGAAAAAATGCAAGATGGCAGAATATCATGACACTGGAGAATGAAGACTGGATTTTACAATGGTATCAGAAAACAAAATATTAAGTTTCCAAGATGTGGGGACATCTATGAAGTACCAACGACCTTCTTCTAAATTACGTGACAGATAACACAGTGCCTAAGAGCTCAATTTTAACACTGAGGGTCAGGCGGAAAGCACCCCGAGGCCTCTGAATCCGTAGGGCAAGCACAGGACAGAGCTGTTATGTTTATGTCTGACCGATTCTTGCTGACTGGGTGCTGGCAGATACACTTTCTGGCACAGAGATTTGCTTTAACAAGCTGTTTACTGAATTCCAGAGGGCGTTATTTTCCTCAGAGGTCAACCAAACACGGAAACCATTAAGTTTCACAGAACATAGACCAAAAGCACAGAGAGGCAGAAAATAGAACAACTGTACTCATTTCTGAAATGACACCAACTTCATGCCACCCAAACTAAATATGCCAATATGGATGCCCTTCATTCTTTGTGAAGGGAAAGAAGTATCTGGAACAAAATCTTCTAATTTTTGAAGAAAACCCAACAACATGTTTTAACACAGGATGGGTCTGCACATTACCTGCACAGATGGCAGCTATGAGGCCCTTCCTTTTTTCTTGTTCTTTCAGTATCTCCTTCACAGCAGCAGACTATTCAAAGAAAGCCCAAACACATCAAGTTATCATAAAGCACAAGTTCAACCATCAGCTGGAAACTCTGGGTAAAGATCTTGCAGTTAAACTGAAAACAGATTCTATTTTATAACAACATTTCTAAATCATAATTAGAAAAATTCTCAAATTCATACTGTTTCTACATTGTTAGACCTAACAAAGCATTTATTTTAAGAGAAAGGCATCCTTTTTTTAAAGATGTTTAAAGATGAGATGAGAAAAGCAACTGCCCTTGGGTAAATTGACCCTTGCCATTTTGTGCTTCTGGGAGAAAGGAGGAGGAAGGAAGGGCATGTGGTGTTTTGGGTGTTTTCAGATGGCAGAGTAAGGAACGTGGTCCAGCAGAGTCCCACACGTCAGATTCGACCTGCTCTGTGAGCTTCTGTCTGCCGTGCCCCTCCCTCCTCTCCCGCTGTTCCTGCAGGCTGACTCCCCACAGAGGACTTCAGTGAAGAAGCAGGGGCCTCTTCTGATGCCATTTTTCACTCCCAGTGGCAGCTCCCGGCCCCCAGCCCCACGGTCTCCTAGCTTTTTACACTTAAACCTTCATAAAACGCAAAATTAGATTCATTCTTCTCCCGCAGACTGCAGACACAGAATCTGTTCACAAGTAATTGTTCCAACAATGCCACTTACTCACGTGGTAAATGTCACTAGAGATGTTTTTCTTAATTAAGCCAGAACACCATTTTGTTCATTTCACCTGCTCCTAGTTTATTCCCAGCCTCCTTCCTGAAATATTTTAGTAACAAAATCAACAGAACACAGGCAGATGCTGAAATACTTCCTCTATACGGTCTTTACCTCAGATAAATTCTGCGCACCCAGATTGCCTCCCGGCAGAACCACTACGTCATAAGGTCCCTGTAGTTAAGAAGGAAAAAAAAAAAGGTAAAGACATTTTATCGGAAATGTGCGCTACAGTGATAGTCCAACAACACTTTCCTATTTTAAATGTGGGTCAGAGCAAAAAACTGTTCACAGAAGAGCAATTAAATAAAGAAACGTATATCTCTATGATGCAATGTTGTTGTAACTAGCAAAAAATCTGAATATAGTAACACGAAAGGACATCCACGTTGCAGAATTACAGGTGTAGCATGATCTCATTCTTTAAAAAAAAAGGGGGGGGGCGTCTGGCTGGCTCAGTCACTGGAGCATGTGACTCTCGATCTCAGGGGCTATGAGTTGAGGCCCCATGTTGGGTGCAGAGCTTACTTAAAAAAATTCTTTAAAAAGGTATGTAGTTGTGTGTATATGTCCCCAACATACATGTGACACACATGTATGGTCTGCAGGTAATCACGGACAAAAGAGGCAGCCCAGGTGCTTCTGGAGTGTGGTATGGGACGGTGGTGAGGAGACAATGAGAAAGGGACATTTCACATTTGGACTTGGTCTACACTGTACAGGAGTTATTTTTTCAACAAGAATGTACACAGGCATAAAAATAATTAAAAGAAAAACAAACTTTAAGTGAAAGGCACAGAAAAAAGTTTTTACCTCTATGAAAAGTAGAACTTAGGGGAGAAAAACAATGGCAGTATTTTAGTGTCCCAAACACCCAACATCCCAGAAACCTACTGAGTCCAAACTTGCTGAAATTATGAAATGGAAATTGGTTTAACAATACTTTAAGATGTGAAAAAAGATTTTTTAAAAATTTAGTCACTTAGCAGTTCACAAAGTGACAATTCAGTACATAGGGCAACACATACTGCTTAGAATTACTCTTAAAGACAATGAACATTCTACTGTTGTTTTAAAACCAAGCAAAACTACAGACTAAATAGAAAGTGTGTGTAGTACAGAATTTCTTTCACTCCTTTTAGAATCTGAACAGACACAAAAGGTGACCACTGTTCTAAAATACCCAGACACCACAAGATGAAACAGAACAGAGAGGAGGGACTATTTACCTCTACTCAGCCACTGTGAATATGCTATTTAGAACGTTTCAACAACCTCTATGTAAATACCAATACTCCTATACTCCACAATCTGGCACTGAAATACGTGAGCTTATCAGATAGGAATGAACTGTTCTCTGTGTGAGGACAGCCAAGCATGGGAATCACGCTCTGGGCTCCTTGGCAGGGGACAAATGGCCGTCCACAAGCTGCCTCTGCTCGTTTTCCTGCCCCACTGATGCTCCAAGAGCATATGGCCCACAGCCCTATCACACTGGCCATTAAGCAGTGAACTACATGGAAGGGTAGGCAAAAGCACCTACGCCTGTTTGGGTGGGCTTACTTCTGAGGAAAGGGACCTCAGCTCTTAACAGATTCCCAAGTGTTAGGTGCCATCAAAGGTGATTGTCAAGAAAAAGTGGCACAATTTAACTAGAATTCTTACTCCTCCCTTAATCCCACCACTAATCAATTATGAGCTGTTCCACATAAGATGAATCACACAACTAGGTCTGTGTCACTGAAAACGGAAAGGCAAAAAGCAGCTTTCAAATAAAGAGTAAGAAATGAACAGGAAATGTGGCAGTTGATTCCTTGTATCAGGTGATGAAGGTGTAACAGGAGGCAAAGTGGCCTTCGAGGCCAGAGGAACACTGATGAGAGTGTCCCACCCACCCACTGAGGACAGGCAGCAGGGAACTGCCAGTTACCATGGATACAGAGTGGAAAACGGCAGAGTCCTCGACTTCCCAGGGCTTATTAGAGTGGGGAAGACATCCAAGCAAAGTCACTTTCTTAAAATAAGTATGTGCTAACAGCCCGAGATGTAATCAAAGGACATTTGAAGAACCTGATAAAGAAGTCAGAGGAAAGAATAATTCCAGGTCTGAAGAACGAACCTCTTTTTTTGCATCTTCCAGACTGGCATCGGGACAAATGACGACGTCTCGGCTACACTGTACTGGGTCTTTCCCAGCCAAACCCGCAATGGTGACTTTAATCTAAAAGAAAGATGTCATCGCATTTAACACTGAAACATAAATTTAGAGTAACATTTTCACAGCTGCTGTTTTAAAATAACTTGGCAGGAAATACCGCAACGAAACCATTCTAACTTGAAGCTAGTAAGTTAGCTAAATATAATTAATAACTAGGTCTGTCCCAGTTTGCCTGGGACAGTCCTGATTTATAGATGCTGTCCTGGTACCCTGCCTGGTTAGTGTCCTTTTTCCCACAAGTGTTCTGCTTTGGGCGCTCATCCTGTTAATAATCCAACTTGCAAAGTTATTGTCGCTATTTAAATCTCATGGCATTTCCTTAAGATAGAAAGACAAGTTAAAACAATGAAATACTACTTTAGCTTGCAAAAATTTACAAAGTTAATAAAACCAAGAACTGGTACTGGGAAAATGGGAATTTTCCTATACTGCTGGTGGGACCACATTGGTACTTTGGGGAGCCATTTGCCAAAATCTGGTCATGCTGTCCTTTGGCCAAGCAATTCCACTTTCAGGCATAAAATCAGGAAAAACTTCCACACTTTTGCATAAGGAAACCTGTACAAGAATATTAGAGTATTATAATGTCCTGAAACAGCGGAACAGAAGAATGGATAGACTGCAGCATATTCACATAAGCAAATTTTTTTTTAAAGATTTTATTTATTTAATTGACAGAGAGAGAGAGAGAGACAGCAAGAGAGGGAACACAAGCAGGGGGAGTGGGAGAGGGAGAAGCAGGCTTCCTGCCAAGCAAGGAGCCCGATACGGGGCTCGATCCCAGGACCCTGGGATCATGACCTGAGCCGAAGGCAGTCGCTTAACCAACTGAGCCACCCAGGCGCCCCTAATAAGCAGCAATTTTAAACAAACAAAGCGGATCTAGATGTGTCTTCATTCATGAGAACCAGAGAAATGAAGGGTTAACAGACTTTAGGGTCAGACTGCCAGGGTCGAAGTACTGGTTCTTTTCCTTACTAAGTCTACAACCTTAGCTAGTGTCTCTGTGCCTCAGTTTCTTCAACTGTACAATGAGGACGGCAATAACTCATAGAATTGTTATAGGATTTAAGCAAGTTTATGTAAATGCTTAGAATGACACCTCTAACATCAGTAAACGCTATTTAAGTGTTCACTACGGATACATATAGAAAGAGAGAAAGAGAACTGGCATCAGGACAAATGACGACGTCTCGGCTACACTGTACTGG